TCTCCAGGACTGGTGGAGGATTGGTTGCTTTGGTCGGGGGGCCAATCATACTGAGCCCTTCATTGCTGCTTCAAAGCACCTCTAGGATGCTCCTATGTCCCTGTTAAGGGTGACGACGGATCCCAACCCGATATTATACTTCATCTTTAGGTGGATGGTTGATGGCACTGGGGTGAGCTCGGCCAACGTTATCTTGCCTAGGATGCAGTTATATAGGGATGGGCACTCGACGACTAGGAAACGGGCGTTGATTTCCCTAAGCGTTTCCTGTGTCCCGAATGTGACCTTGAGCTCCACTTATCCCCATGGTCTTGTTGTCGTCCCGTTGAACCCTTGGAGGTTGGAGCTAACGTAGGGGGTCAGGTTGGTCTCGTCGAGCTGTAGCGTCGAGAACAGGTGGGAATACATGATATCCACCAAACTCCCTATGTCGACCAGAATGCGGTGGACATCAAAGTTTTTCATTTGTGCCCGGATCAGTAGGGGAATGGTTGAGTTGGGGGCTCCTCCGAGGAGTTCTTCGAGGTAGTACGCGATCGGGTTGGATCGGCCGTGGAATTTGTCGAGCGTGCTCATTTTGCCAGAGTTGTTATTCATCAGCTCGTCAAACTTCTTTTTTACCGATCCCACAGAGGGCTTGTTCGGGGCCTCGTCTGAGATGACCTTCGCCCTGGGGAAGTATTCCAACAGGCTGACGGGGCGCACTGGTTCTTCGGGCGGCTGATGCCCGCTTGGGAGGCCGTGTTCTCTTAGCAAAAACTAGTGTCCAGACCGACTATCACTAAGGGCCACCTGTAGCCCGGATTCGTTGTCGGGAGGAGGGATGTCCTCAACTCTTTTGGCTTCGGGGGCCTCTTGTCGGGGGGCCTCTCCTTCCCTGGTGTATCTCTTTAAGTGTCCATCCTTGATGAGTATTTCGATTGCGTCCTTCAGGTGGATGTAATCCTCCGTCACGTGCCTGTGGCCCCAGTGGAAGCGGAAGTATTTGGACTTGTCCACGTTGGCTTTAGGGGGTTCCGGTTTGGGAAAACTACCAGCTCCCCAGACAAACTCCAAGTTGGCGCACTCAGCTAGTATGCACTCACAAGAAGCGACTAGGGTGGTGTATTCGGTGAAGCGGCTTGTGGGGCCCTGCTCACGGGGATCTCTGGGACGATCATCTCGTCGTCGATCTCCCCCAAGCCAGGGGACTGATGTTCCTTCTTCTCGGGACCCGTGGGGCGTTTCGCGGTTGCGGGACTCCCGGGCAGCATTAGCGGCCTCGGTTTCCTCGTATCGGATGTAGTGGCGGGCTTTCTCAAGTAAGCCTTGCAGGGTGGTCGGTCGGTGGATCGCCACGGCCTCGTGGAATTTGGAGTCGTGACGTAGGCCTTGCTCCATAAGGTAGCATTTCATATCGTTCGAAGTTGTCACCTAGACTGCCTCCCTCGTGAACCTCTCAATGTAGTTTCTGAGCGGCTCATCCGGGGCTTGGATGATTACGCCCAGGGCGGCCTCCGTCTTCGAATTCTGTCGCGATGTCATGAAATGCTGCGAAAAAAGATCCTTCAGGACCCTCAATGACGTGACGGACTCAGGTTCCAGGATTTTGTACCAAGCCATAGCCCAATTCCTCAACGTCGTCGGGAAGAGCCTGCACTTGAGGGCTCCTCGGACGTTCCTGTAGTCGAGTATGGGCTCAATATCTTCTAGGTGATCATCCGGGTCTGAGGTACCGTCATACGTGGAGAGTACGGGCGGTTTCTCCATCCCGTGGGGGATGGGGGTTGCTATGACTTCCTGCGATAGGGGGTTCCTATAGTCGTCTTCATCATTGTGGAAAGGGGAGCGCGAAGGCGACGGGTTGTGTCGAGGGGGTTGATTACATCCCCTCGGTCTTCTGCCCGAGGCTTTTGGTCTGTTCGCTCTTGGCTTCGGGGAATGCCTCTCCTTCCCGGGAGGTGACCTGACGCGTTTCTTGGAGGCCATAGGTTTTGGACTCTCCAGTTGTGGTCAGCGCCCCCTTGGGCGGGGAGAGGGACTCCGGGAGTCTCCGTGTTGATTTCTCCGCGGGGGAGAGCGGGACGAGGCATCTTGCTCTAGTGTGCCGATGCATTCATTCTACTGGAATAGCATTAGGTTTGTTTGGTTGATGGTTGCGAAGAGGGCAATCATCGTTGGGTCCGCTCCAGCTGGCGTAGGTACGGGTTGGAAGACAGCCGAGCTCCTTGCCCAAGGTGCGATGTGATGTGCCGCCTCCAGGGATGAGGGAGAGGCGGTCTGGTCGTCCCTAGTGTCGCCCTCACGAGCGTGGGATGTCCCTACCTAGTCGCCGTCGTTGGTGATTGGGACGAGGGCGAAGTTGTGCACAGTGTCGTCATGACGTGGGCTAGTCATGATCTTGGAATTTGAAATCGGGTGCTTTGGTTCTTCTGCTCGGAGGAACGGGGAAGCTTAGTTTCCCACAGACGGTGCCACTGATCTTACCTGATCAGAAGGGAATCAGTAACCTGCCACGTGTCGTCATCTGAAGGTTGTTCACCAGAAGTAAGGATGGGGATGGTATACCTGCAAGACACTCTGATGCCAAAGTAAGTAATGAACCAGAGTGAGAGAAAATACAGAAGAGAGATAGAGAATTGAATACCTGACCCTCTAGTGAAAGAGGGTATTTATAGTGAGACCCGAGCGCAGGGCCAACGGTCACTTGTATTGGGCTGGATTGCTAGGCCCAACCCAGGTGACTGCTAGGGCTTATGTGGCGTAATAAAGACCAGCACGTGGTCTTCGCCCTAGTTCAACCGTCCCGTGATCTCCGGAAGGTGGGCTGAGCAGTTCTTTCTGAGGTGAGTAGTTGGCTGATGATGTGTCCCCGCAGAGAGGGCACGTGGAGAACGTGTTAAAGACGTGTTGTTCTGTCCGACGGAGGGAGGAAGCCTGCCCGGTGTGCCTAGACTCGTGCCCGACATTGGGGATTTGGGCCTTCCCCAAATAGCATTGGGTTGGACCTGCCCGACAGATGGTCAAGCCTGTGCCCAGTCCAGAATACTATTTAACTCAATAAATAAATAAGAAAAGGAGGCAAGCAAAAATTGTGGAGAAAAATGAATTATTTTTGCACCAAAATTAGCATCAGTTTGTAACCGTTGCTACTATAAAAGTTAAATAAATAAATAAATAAATGAACTTGCTAGTATTCCATTAAAAGAATTATTAAAAATAAAATTAACTAAATCCAAATATAGCATCGACTTTAATTGACACTAGAAATAATGACCTATTAAAAATTAAAACAAATGATTTTAATTATTAACAACGGCTATTGACGACATGACGTCAACGCTAACATGACGTCAACGCTAATAGTGTCGGAGTCTAGGCCTCCAACGCTAAATACCTGCACCTAAAATGTGTTTTTCTTGTAGTGGCATATATATTTTAATTATGTTAGCTATTTATCAAAATTAAGAGCCTTAATTGATTAACTGGTCAAATAAATTTAAAATGCTAATTAGATGTCTATTAGTAATTAATTAATTAATTGGATATGGATTCAAATATGATTAGATGTCAGGATAGCCCATTTCGGAATAATGGGAACCCTAATTGGCCATCACCATACACAAGCAATTTATCTCTTCTCGCCATCTGAAAAGTATTTAAAGCATTAGGAGTACCGGTTGAGAAATAACCATACAAGCCACTAGGTGTTTGATGTTTGTCTCTATCTTTCAAGATTACCGCCAAAAAAAACTTTCTCAATGATTTCAAGTATTCTTGCAATCTCATATAGGTATTCATGCAATCTCTCTCATATACTAACATGTGGTAGATCTTGTAATTATATACATGTTCGTATTATCTAATATATTCAAAACTTTTTCAATGGATCCAGGTATTCTTGCAATCTCATATAGATATTAGTGCAATCTCTTCTCTCATATACTAACATGTCGTAGATCTTGTAATTATATACATGTTCGTATTATCTATTCTATTTTGCACTAAAGTATATGACACAATACGTAGAACATGTATATGTGATTAATTGTTAATTGATTTAATTCCTACATATACTACTATTTGGAAGATCTCAAGTTTCATATTAGTTTTAGATAGAGTTTTGAAAGAGTTTATATAAAGTGACATCTCTCACCTTATAAACCGATTTTGTAAATATGAGTTAGGTCAAACTCTAATATAGTATCAGAGCATATTTATCAAACTTAGTGCTGCTTTCTATTTAAATCCATACACCAAATCCAAAAGAGTGTTGCGCTCGAGAAGGTATATTAAAAAGATCTCAAATTCCACATTGATTAGAGATAAAATCTTAAAATAATTCATATAGACTATCATCTTTCATCTTACAAATCGATTTTTTAAAAATAAATTATGCCAAACACTAATACCTTTTAAGCAACCTACAAAAATGATGTCTCATTCGAGTACATGGTATCCCACATGTTTCCATAACCTTATCCCTTGTGAATAGTTTTCATTAGACCGAGATTGCATAAAATTCAGTCTTGTTGGTTAGTGACACTATTAACCTAGAAAATAAACTTGAAAAAAATTGGATTGAGTATCTTATATTCGTCTGACTTGCTAAAAGCTGAGGGGGTCTGCCTTTCTAGTAATGTCCTGTTTTGTCCATTTCTACTTGCATACAATTTACTAAAACTTTTAGGTGTAAATAATAACCAATATACTCAAAACCTTTTACCCTATGAAATTTATTTATAAAATTTAGTTAACTGCCATTGTTTTTCAAGACCATAACACATCACCGCGTTTTGTGGGGTTCATCATTCTGTGCTGGATTAGTCTGTCAAAAGCAACTTCGCGGTGCCATCATCATCATCATTATTTGGAATCCAATTCACCTCATTATAATATTATCATTATCATACAATGAATTCATCAATGAACACATTTCACTATCTCTCTATAAATAATTCTTCTTCTCATTTCACTTCATATTTACAATCTCCACACACTCTTAATTATTCAACTTCTCTATGTCGTTCTCTAGAACCTTCACTGCCTCATCACTTCTCCTCTCACTTATCCTTTTTAACATTGTTGAAGCTCACCAGGTAGTGGTTCTCACTTTTCAGATTTTTTTCAAAATTTTGTATGCACATATTAAACATTTATCTAACTTACATATACACACTGTTTTTACCTTGCAGACAAACACCTATGGAGCTACATCGCCATCCCCTCTTCCCCAAACAATAGGTAACACTAATTTTTCAAACATTTATACTCATCTATGGGCCTAATCATTTATGATGGTGTGGAATGTATATAGATTGCAAGGTAGCATGTGAAGGAAGGTGCAAAGTATCATCAAGGCCAAACCTATGCAATAGAGCTTGTGGTAGCTGTTGTGCGGTGTGCAAGTGTGTCCCTCCTGGCACTGCGGGAAACTTTGACTCATGTGCTTGTTATGCTAAACTCACCACTCGTAACCAAATTCGCAAGTGTCCTTGATTTAATTATTATATCCATGAGAAGTGAGAATGTGAGATTGTAACACTTTCTTTGATATTTTCTTTTTAATAATTTCATTATTTTAATGGAATATGTATTCACATTATAAAATATTTTAATATTTTCAATCAATAAAAGATGTGTGTCTTGTAAATCACGTTTTTATTTTTAAAATATTAATATTATAAGATAAATATAAGAATCTTAACCAATTATATATGTAATATTTTTGGGTCATGCTAATCAGTGCCCTCGGGGTACTAGTTAAGAATTCTAAATAAGAAAAAAATGTTATATTTAGTTCACTCAATACACACAATATTTTTTAAAAAGTATGATTATTTCTCTTTTCAGGGCATTGAATACACATATATTTAAAAAAAATGTATTTTTAATCTCTTAAATAATGTCCAACTTACTATTTTAATCTCTTAACCAAATGGCCTGAGGCCACTCGTTAGCATTTCCCAATATTTTTTTATATTGCTTGTGCACTATTTTTAAATTAAATTTTTAATTAAATTTATGAGTTATCTATTTCAAATATGAGACCGACAACATAAATTTCAACCACTAATAGAGAATCTTATTTCTTATTTATTGAAGAAACAAGGAGAGTGTCTGGAATTTGAATTTTTTTTTTTGACAAAATGAATTGTTTTATTGATGTATTTTAAAAATTAATGTATTTAATCTATTGTGATATATTTCAAGTTATAGTTCAAATTTAAGTTAGTTAGGATTGAGCATGAAGAAGCCAGAAATTTTAATAAGTGAGAGAAAATACATTTTAATTAAATGGTTGATGTTACTAAAAATATGTATTTTTATGTTTGTGAAAAATATTTATTTAATATTTTATATCTTAAATTTTTATATATTTGATTCTTCATAAAATTATTATTGGAAAACTATTTTAATTTTTATAATTTTCTTAAATAAAATAATTTTTTTAAAATAAATATTAATACAAAATAGTGTTATTAATGTTTTTTTAACTCCCTTTCCATTGTATGTAGCTCCGTCTTGAATTTAAGATTTGATATGTTATATATATATATATATATATATATATATATATATATATATATATATATATATATATATATATATATATATATATATATATATATATATATATATATATATATATATATATATATATATATATATATATATATATATATATATATATATATATATATATATATATATATATATATATATATATATATATATATATATATATATATATATATATTAAAATGTGTGTCAAATAAGGATTTTAAATACTGGAATATATTTCTCATTTTTATTTTAATTTTGAGTCTCTAAAAGGGATTAGATAAAATCACAAGTTTAAATTTTTTTCAATAACAATTATTATTCTTCTCTCTCTTTTCACTAAAAGCACCTCACACACTAATAAATTGGTAGCTAGAGCTCTGGTTAGTTTTTCGACTGTGTTTTCAAGAATCACACGTCACTGATCGTGTTTCCAGAGTCATGGGTTGTTAATCGTGTTTGCTACAAAGATGAATGGTAACAAAAGCATTCTGAATTCTATTCTAATTTTTAACGACAATAATTGGATCTGATGGAGAAAACAAATGCAATCTTTGTTTAGGTTTCATGAAACCATAGAAGTGGTTACTAATGTCATCCTTGAGCTTGTTGAGAATGCAATTGATCAGAGAGTTGCGAACAAGGAGGCCAAGAAGAAATACTGCAATGTTGCGTTTTATATCCAATCAGTGGTAGCCTTGGCGAACTTTGATTAAAATTTTCATGCTGAATTGGCGAAGGAGGCATGGAATATTCTTGTCAAATATTATGAAGGAGGTGAGAAGGTTAAAGTCGCCAAATTGGAGACGTTGCAAAGGTAGTATGAATTATTGCAGATGGGAGAAGAAGAAAAGATTGCATGTTATTCCTCGAAGGTGCATAACCTTGTTCATCTCATGAAGGTTATGGTGAAACCATAATTGATAAGATGATAGTTGAAAAGGTAATGCATACATTGACCTCTCACTTTGATCATGTTATCGTTGTTATTCAAGAATTCAGTAATCTTGAAACATTGAAATTGGAAGATTTGGTTGGTTCGTTGGAGGCACATGAAATGAGGATTGTCGAAAGGAAATGTGTTCAAGATTTGATACAAGCTCTACAGGCTCAGTCATGGAAGAAACATAGTGTGTCCAACAAGTTCAAGGGCAAAGGAGACAAGACTCAAAGCAAAAAGTCTTGGTTGAACCCTTGAAAGCATAAGGTCAATGATAAGGCTTCTAAATCCTCGAAAAGTGGAAAAGGAAACTCCTATCGTAAAGACAAAGAAGAGAAAAAACAAAGGCGTGCAGTGTTTTAGTTGTGAAAAATGGGGTCACTTAACCAAGAATTGTTGGTACAAGAAAGGTAAGAATGAAGGAGTAAACCTTGCATGCCAAGATTCAGATGATTTTGAAAACATGGTGGTTATGGCTGTAGTTGCAGATGAGCATGACGACACCAAGATCTGGTTTCTCGACACAAACTATTCGAATCAAATCATTGGTTGAAAAGTGTTGTTAGCGAATTTCAGCGAGCCGAAAAAGAATAAGGTCAAACTTGCTAATAATAGCTCGTTGCAAGCAGAAGGTACTAACGACATAGTTATTCAAATGAGCAATAAAGCAAAAGTTATGATCAAAGATGTACTCTATGTACCAGGAATGAAGTAAAATCTGCTAAGTGTTAGACAACTGGTCGAAAAAGGTTTCTTAGTGGTTATGAAAGATGGAACCTTAAAACTATTCGACACTCAAAATAATCTGGTATTAAAATATTCTTTATGGATGAATAGGACATTTAAGACCATGATTAATTTAATTAAGGTACAATGCCTAAAAATAGTTGTCGACCACAAGAACGGTTGGTTGTGGCATTTAAGATTTGGATATCTAAATTTTAGGTCACTTAATCAACTAATTACTCAAGATATGATAACTGGTATACCAAGTCTCGAGATTCCTAACAAACTCTATGAAGGTTGGTTAGTAGGGAAGCAATCCAAAAAGTCTTGTGTTTTGATTATGCCTATGAGATCCTCCTGCATACTAGAAGTATTACATTCAGATGTATGTTGCCCGTTTGAGGATCATACCATTTGTGGAAATAGGTATTTTGTCTCATTTGTCGATGAGTATAGTCAAAAGCTTTGGATCTATGTGATCAAGCAAAAGGACAAAGTATTTGAAATCTTTAAGAGATTCATGATGCTTGACGAAAACTAGAGTGAAAAGAAGACAAAGGTTCTGTGAATATATGGATGTGGCGAATACACATCCAAGATATTTGAGGAGTTCTATGTAGAACATGGTATCACAGAAAGAAGAAAAATGACCATATTGGATATGGTAAGATGCATGCTGACACAGAAAAACTTGCCAAAGTAATTATGGGGTGAAGTTGTCACTACAATTGTTTATATTCTGAATAGGTGCCCTACCAAGAAACTGAAAAATAAGGTTCCAGAAGAAGTTTGAGTGGAAAACGACCATCAGTGAGTTATCTGAAGGTGTTATGCTCTATTTGCTACAAACATGTTCTTGATTGAAGGAGAATGAAGCTTGATGATAAAAGTAAACCTATGATTCTGGTAGGATATCACAAGCTGAAGCTTATAGGTTATTCTATCCAATCAATGATAAGATTGTGATGAGTTGAAACATTGTGATTGATGAGAATTCTTCCTGGGATTCGAATTCAGGTGATGCGACTAACAAGTCATTGATGGGCTATGAAGTTTATGAAAAAATTAGTGAGCATGAAGAAATTCCATTCGATAATGTTTCAGTCACTGTCAAAGTCGAAGCAGACAATCGAGAGGGTGTGACTAGCACAAGCTAAAGACATCAAAGAACTAGAGTTCTTCCAGCAAAGCTTCAAGACTATGAAGTGGCTGGTAATGATGAAGTCACAACAGATGGAGAATTAGTTCATTTTTCTTTACTTGCAGGTGCTAAACTAATCAACTATGGAGAGGCCTTAGAGAATAAACAATGGAAGTCAAGTGTGGTCGAAGAGTTGCAAACGATCGAAAGAAACAACACATAGGAATTTGCCGAATTGCCAACACGTACAAAAGTTATCAAAGTAAAGTGAGTGTTCAAGTTGAAGCATAATGTTGATGGATCGATAACAAGACATAAGGTAATATTAGTAGCTCAAGTATTTTTTTCCAGAGATTAGGACTCGACTACTCTAAAGTATATGCACAAGTAGCAAGATTGGAGAATGTTCGATTGGTGGTAGCCTTGGCATGTAAGCAAGGCTGGTCGATATTTCACTTAGATGTGAAATCAACATTTTTGAAGGTGAAGAGGCATATGTCACACAAACTCTTGGGTTTGTGATACAGGAGGAAACAAGGAAAGTATATAGGTTGCACAAAGCACTATATAGTCTCAAACAGGCTTATAGAGCATGGAACAAGAAGATCGACTCATACTTGGTCGAATTGGGATTCATCAAATGTAAATTTGTGTATGGTGTCTATGTTTAGGTTGTGGTACAAGATATAAAAATCATCTACTTATATGTCGATGACTTGTTAGTAACTGGAAATAGCTTGGAGAACTTGTCGAAGTTCAAAGAGCTGATGAAGAAGGAATTTGAAATGTCAGATCTAGGAAAGTTATCGTACTTCCTATGCATGGAATTTCATATGTTGAAGCAAGGTATAATGCTACATCAAAGAAATTATGTCAAAGAGATACTAAAGAGATTCAGGATGAATGACTTGAACCCTACATCCTCACCTGTCGAACCAAATTTGAAGCTAGAGAAACATGAAAAGGAAGACAAAGTTGATGTCACTTTATTCAAACAAATTGTCAGATCTCAGAGATATATGTTCAACAGTTGACTTGATATAGGTTTCTCATTCGGATTAGTGAGAAGATACATGAGTGAACCAAGGGTGTCACACATGGAGGCTGCAAGATTCCTGAGATACTTAA